TATTTGACAGATCACGTGGGATTTCAGACATGGTGTCAAAGAGAAAGATGCTCAGTATGCTTTGACATCTAATGCATGAAAATCCTAACCTCAAAAAAATCACCCGTTATAAAAACCAGCAAAAATAAATATATTTAATGCTGTCAAACGACCTCTTCTTGATTAAGATAAATGGTAGAAAATAATCCATTTTGGTAGGTTTTTGAACCAGCTCTTGGTAGGAAGGAAAGTTTTTCAGTGGTAACCCTGCTTCAAGTACTAAATAAAATAAATATTATTAAAAATTACTAACTTTTCCATTTTATATTTACCTAAGTAACTTAATTTACTTACCTAATTGCTTCTTTAAAATACCTGACATCCGCATTCGCATCCGCATCCGCGGATGTCAGCTGTTAAGACATCTGCATCCGCATTCGCGGATGTCTAAAATTCCACATTCGCAACATCCCTAATATGGAGTATGAAAAATTCGGTTTTAAAGGGAGGTGCCACGCCCCCTTTTAGAATAGGTATAATTTTTCTCCAATAGTATGTGATCGATTTCATATCCGCCAATACCAAGTTCCAGTACTCTTCCATGAACACTTCCAGAGATATGCAGTATGAAAAAATCTGTTTGTATGGGAGGTGCCACGGCCCCTTTTCCAATAGCTGCATTTTTCTCCAAGAGTATGCGATCGATTTCATATACATACGTCAATACTAAGTTCCAATACTCTACCATGAACACTTCCAGAGATATGCAGTATGAAATATTCCGTTTGTATGGGAGGTGCCACACCCTCTTTTACGATAGATCCAATTTTTATCCAAGAGTATGCGATGGATTTCATATATCTCCATACCAAGCTCCAGAACTCTACCATGATTATTTTCGGAGATATGGAGTATGAAAAATTCGGTTTGTATGGGACGTTCCACGCCCCTTTTATATATCGAGATTTTTGTTGGCCTAGAACCATCCTTTGAACGTCTGCAGCAGGTGTCAGAAATTTCAAAAAAATCGGTTCAGCAGTTCTCGAGCTTTCCGATATATTTACATTGAATCTATGTCATAGATGGATAAGAGTTGCTGCTTTTAATATTGCGGTCACTTCGTACGTACAAAAAACATAGCAGCGTTTTTATGCGTAATTATATAAATACATATGTATGTACAAAAATATTCATATACAAATATAAGTGCTAACAGCAATGTTAATTGCTCCTTGTACATACATATCTTCCTTTAAAGTACAAAGCCGCTTATCAACAAAATGCAAAACCGCGTATCATACGTACAAATTAACGGTAGCGGGCGCTCTTATTTGTGATTTGCAGGTGAGCAGCGCTGTTATGTGGGCATGTATGTTAGATTCTATAGAATTTGTTAAGTCCTGCAGTTCCACTTTTTGCCTAAGATAACGGGAAGCCCATCCAGAACCTATAACCTAAATTTCAAAAAGATCGGTACAGCCGCTAACGAGCTTTGCGAACACAAAAAAAAACCGGCTTTCAAAATATATTGTAATGGCAACCATATTGATATGACAGCGCTATTCAGCACTGTCATAAGGTTGGTACTACTGCCAACCTAAGTGCAGTTATTTTTCTCCACTTGAGCCAAGGCGTCGATTTGGAAAATTGATGTCATTCGATACTCGCCTTTCAAATTGACCGGTTCCCACTTGAATAGAATTAAACTAAGTTAAATTAAAGAATATTAAGTCTTCTTTTAATCGAATTAATATTGCTACCCTATTGCAAGCAATTCTTAAGCAACTTTGGGCGTGTGAAGGGAAGCAGTGGCTAACAAGAAGCCAGCTTGAAATGCATAACCCGATTGAAAAAGGTGGACTGTACACCGAAAATCACTTCTGCGAACAGTTAGTGTACGGTACAAGCAAACTCACGCCGGCGTACAGTTGTTGGATAGCGGGGCTCAATACCGCTACTAGTTGGACTTCAACGCAACTCGCTACATTTTTGCCCGTTACAACGACTTGTAACAAAAACTAAGTTTTTTCCACACCACCACCTGTACATAGCAACAGCACAACAACGATTATAATACCACCACCATCTATATACACCAGGCCCGTTATATGTGTATAAGCGGTTGCGTTTAGGCAGAAAACCAGCCAAACAGAGGTACTCAACAAAAATAGTTTAGTACCCCACGCAATCGCATACCCAAGCCTCCAGCATATTAATAAAATCTAGACAGCAGCGAGGGAGGCCGCAGCATAACAATATAATTTACCAGCGGGTACACTCATCCAAGGAGTAAGGCAGATTAGTTTAAGAGTATACATACTTACATATATTATTCGTTTGCTGTTTTCGTATTATAAAAAATTAACGAAAAATACGGTATTGTAAAAATTCGCTGTACCTAAACTTTATTATACTAAAATTGAATGAACTAAAAACTGCATACTCAACTTTCTTCTAGAGAGCGTAAATAAAAAGCGCAATATTATAATGAAATTTTGTGGTATTTTATTTAATTTTGAACAAGGTTTGGAACTCTGATTTTCTGGGTTTTTCTTGTAGAATTCACCATATTTTTATAAAAAATTCGCGAAAAATAAAATATTTAAAAAATAGTTGCACGTATTGTAAAAAATTCGCCGCACCTTAACTTTATTGACCGACTGTATCTATATAAATACATTGGTATGCACACTAGTGCACTTTTAAATACAATTATTTAATATTAAAAGAAAAAATATTGAAAAGAAGTTTTCTAAATATTTAAAAAAATAAATAAAGAAAACAAAGGCTGAATTTCTTTATTCATTCTGAACGTTTGGAATAAACTTTTTTGTTTACTTATTCTTTAGAACGTTCCTGATGATATGTTAACGTATATTTCAAACGTATTCTGTTTATTCCGGCTGTGAAATGGGATTATCCGGAATGTATAAAGAAACGCAGCCAATGTAAATTTAAATTTGAAACACAAACGCGGAAACGCGAATTTTATGATTTATGATTTAAAAATCTTAAAAATGTTTGCTTAATAGTACCAATCATGGTAAAAACATTACAAGGGAAATTCATTCTCTCAATTCGTCGGCCATGATTTTTCTGACGTTTGCAAGCATTTTAAAATCATAAAATTGAAAATAACAAAATTAAAACTGTTCACAATTGTTGTTGTTTGAGATTGAAAATGGGAATGTGTGTTTGAGTTTAACTTTTGAATTTTTAAATTATATTGCTGGCAAACTGCTTCTCAATGGTTTTACCTTGCTATGTTTTTATCATGGTACAAATGGTACAAACGAGCTTTTGGATTTAAACATTTTTCATATTAGATATATAAGCGATACAAGATATATAAGCTATTTAACTTTTTTCAAATTATATATAAGTGATTTAACCTTTTTCATATTAGCCATATAAGCGATCCACCGTCTTTTCATATTAGATATTTAAGTGTGCCAATAGGGGCACCGAAATTGCTTATATGGAAACTGTGCATTTAGACATGATTTCGGTTTCAACCGAAACTGTGCATGTATGCTTTATTTGGTTTTTGCCATATGGCCCAAAACGCGGACTGTTACATTACATTTTGGCTCACACTAATTTTTAAATACCGCTGAAACTCGCGAGAATACAATTTTCGGATAATTTTTCTTCTTGCACCTGAAAGCATAAGTATGTAGCATTATTTAATATATACAAAAATATATTGTAACTCCTGTGGTTTAGGAGTTATGAATGTTTCAACAGCGGACTGTTGCATTACAATTTTTGAAAGTACTTTTTAAAGTTGCTTTATATTATTGAAAAAGTGTGCTCTCCTAATATAATGTTTTCAAAAGTTGGTACACAGTTTCCTAGCTTCAGGATGGCATTCAAGAACTACGTATTAATTGAACTGATAAAACTAATTTTGAGGTCAATATTTGTAAAAAATAGTCGGACTGGTACGTTACAGAAAAAGACTGTTACGTTACCTGTGCGATATACGTGTAGCGATAAGATTATAATTAGGTATTTAAATCGCTTTTAGTGTGTTTTATGCAATAAGTAGCATGAATTCAGTAGTTTTGCGATATGACAAGTAATTCAAAGAAATTAAGAACATGATAATTATGAATACAGATTTTAAAGTTTCTGATGCTGTGCAGCTGTAGGTCGTTTCCGAAGTAATTTTCTGCGTAGAACTCGAACTTGATCTTAGTACTGCGCCAAGATGTTAAGTTTTTCGCGTTTAGTTTCACAAAAAACGCCTTTAATGGTTTATACTGTTTGCTCTATTTAGAACTATTCTTACCCTTCAAATGTTAGATTCGAGGACTCGGCATTTTGTAGAATAATAGTAGTACTAGAAAAATAGCAGAAATAATTCCAAAAGTTTTTTTATTATTTAATCGGAAAATCTTCTTCTTTCAGCTTCTTACTTCGCTTCTTTTGAGTTCGTTCCTCTTTGAAATAATATAATTCTCGAGTTTTTTATTTTTCTACGTAATTCTTATCTTCTCAGTTTATATAAGTTAGAAAAAATAACAGTTTTAACTATGGGACAATAACACGTTGAATAGCTTCCAATGTTGCTTGTAAAATGAGCCATATCTTTAACTAAATAGGAAAAAAAGGTTACCTAAAAATTAAATTAGTTCAAAAGACTGTTACGTTACAAATAGCTTTCCACCGAAAACATATTGGTAATGAAGAGTATGTGGAACTATCTTATTTTACTGTGAAATAAGGCCGAAAAATGCTCGGAGAAAACTATATTTTTCCTTTTTTAGTTTGGTGGATTCCGCGCCAAAAAACTTTTTAATATTTTGGACTGTTACATTACATTAAAAAATACTGCCGACTTGATTTTCATATAGAAAACTAATCGCTGATTTTTTTGTCGAATACTTTTTTTTATTTACTTCAAAATAATACAAGGCAAGCGAAGAGAGGCAAGTATAATGCAAAAAAGTGGTGGACCTTAAATATAAACTACCCTTTAGTTTCATGTTGTGCTTTTTTAATTTTCGTTTATTTAAACGTGTCTCAAGACTAAGTGAATTTTCATGTTTGAGAGGAGATTCGTGTTAATATTGATGTTATCCGATACCTTAGAATATGTATGACCCAGATATAATCCAAAATCTGCGAAACCTAAGAAAAAAATGTTTCCCCTTTGTTTCGTTTTCGGCGATTTGGGCCATATGCATTATTTCGGTTTTCAACCGAAAATGTGCATGTATGCATTACTTGGTTTTTTTTTCATATGCATTATTTCGCTTTTAAAACGAAAGTATGCATATGCATAGTTTCGGTATTTTCTCATATGCATTATTTCGGCGAGTTCGTGGCGAGTCAATCGCACCACTTATTACATCAAAAACAAATGTCAATGAAAGGATAGTTCTTCTACTATTTAAGGATTTTAAGTTAATTAGCAGACACTTAGCATTATAGGAAGGTATCGGCTCTTGAAAATGCAGCGACCGTAGAGCAAAGCGCATAAAAGCTTTTTGAACACGCTCAAGCCGTTTTATATGACAGTCATAATAAGGTCTCCAGATAATGACAGCATATTCTAGCTTCGATCGTACCAGCGATGTATACAGTAGTTTTAGCGTATATGGATCAGTAAAATCCGTGCTAAAACGGCGAACGAAAGCAAGCGTAGAGTAGGATTTTGCGACAACGTAATTTCAATGACTATGAAAAAGAAATTTAGCATCAAAAACTACTCCAAGATCAGATATTTCATTAACAGAACTCAGCACAGAGTCTCCAACATAATAGCTGGTAGGGATGAGTGATCGAGATTTTGAAAACGACATGTAAAAGCATTTTTTAATATTTAGATGCAAATGATTCCTACTACACCAAGCTGCCACATTGTCAAGATCCGATTGAAGTTCGATCTAGTCAGAAAGACTCGTGACTGTTTTAAATATTTTTAAGTCGTCCGCATACAATAAAAAATTAGAGTATCTAAAGCAATGTCGTATGTCATTAATAANAAGAAAAAACTGTTTCCCCTTTGTTTCGTTTTCGGCGATTTGGGCCATATGCATTATTTCGGTTTTCAACCGAAAATGTGCATGTATGCATTACTTGGTTTTTTTTTCATATGCATTATTTCGCTTTTAAAACGAAAGTATGCATATGCATAGTTTCGGTATTTTCTCATATGCATTATTTCGGCGAGTTCGTGGCGAGTCAATCGCACCACTTATTACATCAAAAACAAATGTCAATGAAAGGATAGTTCTTCTACTATTTAAGGATTTTAAGTTAATTAGCAGACACTTAGCATTATAGGAAGGTATCGGCTCTTGAAAATGCAGCGACCGTAGAGCAAAGCGCATAAAAGCTTTTTGAACACGCTCAAGCCGTTTTATATGACAGTCATAATAAGGTCTCCAGATAATGACAGCATATTCTAGCTTCGATCGTACCAGCGATGTATACAGTAGTTTTAGCGTATATGGATCAGTAAAATCCGTGCTAAAACGGCGAACGAAAGCAAGCGTAGAGTAGGATTTTGCGACAACGTAATTTCAATGACTATGAAAAAGAAATTTAGCATCAAAAACTACTCCAAGATCAGATATTTCATTAACAGAACTCAGCACAGAGTCTCCAACATAATAGCTGGTAGGGATGAGTGATCGAGATTTTGAAAACGACATGTAAAAGCATTTTTTAATATTTAGATGCAAATGATTCCTACTACACCAAGCTGCCACATTGTCAAGATCCGATTGAAGTTCGATCTAGTCAGAAAGACTCGTGACTGTTTTAAATATTTTTAAGTCGTCCGCATACAATAAAAAATTAGAGTATCTAAAGCAATGTCGTATGTCATTAATAAAAATTACAAACAAAAGAGGTCCGAGGATACTACCTTGCGGGACCCCAGAGGACGCAATAAAAGAACGTGAGCAAATACCATCCACAACAACAACACAACAACGTTCCGCCAAGTATGACTTCACCTAAGACAAAAAACTAGAATGAAAGCCAAGGTCGGCTAGCTTAGACACTAAGAGTGAATGGTTTACCTTGTCAAAAGCCTTCGAAAAATCGGTATAGACCGTATCGACTTGAACTCGATTCTTAAAAGCAGAAAGACAATATTCAGAAAAAACTGCAAGATTAGTTACAGTTGACCTACCAGGCATAAAGCCATGTTGATTAGTACAAATTGAACTCTTAACTGCAAATAATATTCTTTCCTTAACTATAATTTCACACAAATTTTGACATGGTAGAAAGTTTAGAAATAGGCCAGTAGTTGGCGATATTATTTTTATTCCCGCTTTTAAAATTAGGAGTGATAGAGGTTACTTTCCAGGCCTCAATGAACTCGCCGTCATTAAGAGACTTATTAAATATTAATAAAATTGGGTAAGCAATTGCTGAGACACTCGTAAACAAGTAAGAGCATAAGCCATCTACATACATCCATTTGAGATGATGATTTGATCATCAAAATGCCTCTAATGACGTCCTCAATGGTTAAGGAGAGCTCTCCAAAATTTGTAGGGCAATCAAGCACCGTCATCACATAAGTTCGAATCAGGCTTAAAGTTTGAACTGAAGACGAATGAGCATTGGTTTCGTTATAAAAAGACATGCGACGGGATGCTTGAATACGAGTTTGTTGATTTGACGTAATGCCAAAAAGACATTGGGTTCAGTTTGANGCTAGAAGCACCGTCATCGCATAAGTTCGAATCAGGCTCAAAGTTTGAACTGAAGAAGTCCGCAAAAAGGTTAGCGGCTTCAAAAGACGAATGAGCATGGGTTTCATTATAAACAACTTGCGACGGGATACTTGAATGCGAGTTTGTTGATTTGACGTAATGCCAAAAAGATTTTGGGTTGAGTTTGATGTCAGATTCAAATTTAGCCTCATAGTTTTTATGGAGAGTCTTATACCATGTTCTGACCGACATCGAAAACATGTTTTCGTTGCTAAAACTGGTTTTCGACCTAAAACTTGTGTTTTCGTCCATGTAAAATCTGCCAAACGAAAACCAGTTTTCGCTGAAAACTACTTGAAAACTCACATTCCACTCATTCCAATCGGTGTCTTCACTAGTTTTTTCGATTATTTATCGAAGTGGAAGTCATATTTTATCATCTTTATTACGCCATTTTGGATTTATTGTTAATAGGCTGTCCAAATTAAAATAAGAATGAAAGTAAGAGGTTGCTAATGAAAAGAAAATGAGGGAAAAGCATTTTGGTTTTGTTTTTGTGTAGCAAAACTGTAATCAGAGGATGTAAGAAATGTCAACGAAAACACTAACAGCCGGTGTGAACAGCATTCAGCCCACAATTCCAAAACTCGTTTTCAAAGTGTTTTCGTTGTCGGTCAGAACATGGTGTTACTCCGTGATTTAAACTTATTGGAATAGTATAAATACTTTTCCTTGTGGGAAGACGAATTTGACAATTTGTATTTCTTGAAAAACCTATTCCTTAAATTCTTAAGCTTCTTTAAATCATTTGTATACCAAGGTATTTTGTAGCAATTCCTTTTCTTCAACGGCATAATACTCCTACAAATTTCATTAACTTTGCATTTAAAAAATATTAAAGCAGTCGGTAATATCTTCCCCAACAAATATAGAGTCCCAGTCTAGAATACCAATCATACCATTTATAGCATCAAAGTTACAGTTCCTAAAACTGTAATTTTTAGATGGAGTATCAAGTTTAATGCTTCTGAACTCATAAAACTCCAATTGCAGAACAAGAGGAACATGATATAGGCCTGGACACGACAGAGGGTCGAGACATTCATGTAGAGAAAAGTGCATGTTATCGCTTATAAATATTAAGTCTAGGATCCTAGCAAGTTTGTTAATAAACTTGTTAATCTGGAAGAGATTTAAGCTTAATAGATTGTCCACAACATATGTTTCAGAAAAACTGTTAACATTATTAGGATACAAAGCTATGCTGTCATCCACAGGTACCCAGTCCACATTACCTAGGTTAAAATCACCTAAAATACAAAAATTGCAGTTTGATCGCTTATATACTAAGTTCACAAGGTTATCTATATACGCTTTATACAAAGTATTTGTACTACTCGGCGGAATATAGGATGCACTAATAATAAGTGTTGAAGAACCATTCACGGATACACATAGTTGATCTAGTAGTGAATCCCCATTCTGCAGTGAAAGAAGCGACGAACGATGTTTCCGCTGAACAGCAATTAAAAGGCCACCACCACGAGCAAGTCCAGTTTTGATGGCATCCCGATCCTTACGATAGACGTTGTAAATGTTGGGATCAAAAAATTCGCTGTCATAAAAATCAGCATTTAGCCAGGTTTCAACCAGAACAAATACG